GAATGCAAGGGTGTGATGTTGATTTACAAAGCAACATTTCTCACTGAATCTTTGTATTTTGTGTCAGCAGGAGTTAATAATATGTAAAGAATACAATAAGTGGCTGAAAATCTGGGGAGAGAAAAATAGCCCCTCTCCTGTTCTCCCAAATAATTCAGACTGCTATTAACTGCTCTTATGTAAGTCTAATGATGATGATACTTTAACCAACAAATAAACAACTACTTTTATCTAATCTAATGCATTATGTGTGTTCTTTGAGCACATGACGTATTCTTTCTCTTGATATCTGTCAAAGGAGAAATACCAATTAAAGTTAATGAACTCAGACTATGTTAATGGTTGTTCAGATTAGCTTTATGCAAGCAGCAACCTCCAGAGCTAGATAGTATGAATGATAGATGAAGTGCCCAAATCTGCAGTTCATCGAATAGCCACGTGAAGCTGGCTCCAAAAGTGTTCAGTCTGGTACAAATAAACGGTTTTGGTCTAATTTCCCCTTCATAACAACTGTGCAGGGGGTAAATTCTCATACAAGTTACCTGTTTAAATTATATTAAGGTTTAAAGTTATGACGAATTAAGCACATGGCCGCTTTGAGTGACAGATGGGTGCCCTTGCAGATGGCTAGCCGCTATGTGGTGTAGCAGCCAGGCTTCGTTCAGCCCACGTCAGCTCCATCTCTTCGCCAAGAGTCAGGCACTGCCAAGATGGCAACGTCCAGAGCATTGAGCTTCACAACGGCTTTTCAGAAACCTATCGGTGACATCACAGACACTATGTCCATGTTTTATACAGTCTATGTTTAATGCTGCATTCATGCGCTCCTCGGATGGTCCCAGTTCCCGAGTTGGGAAGTCGTTCTTCTGACTTTGGTGTGTTCATGTGCTTTAAGTCGGAATGTGGAAATAACATGGATGCTACTATTAAAGTAGTAGTATGTGTTGGATTAGCATTATCATTGTCATCCAACTATGATAAAACAGTTTGGAGCTTTCTATTACAAAGTTTTTTTGTTTGTTTTTTTGCCCCAGAGTTGCTACTGCAGCAGTACATTACCTGAAACCACTAAAATACTGCTTGTAGCCTACTGCAAATACTGCTAATAAATAACTTTCCTTATTAATGTTCTTCACACTACATGGACAGCAAACTAACCTTTATAACGTAATACCATATTGCTAATGACACCATAGCAATTATGCAATACATGATTTTGCACCATTTAAACATTTCTAACCATCAACCATTTTTTCCGCCATGTTTCTACGTCAACAACGCGGCAACTTGTAGCAAAATTTTCTCCGTCTTTCCGAGTTGTTGTTCCGACTTCAATGGGCATTCATGTAAATTTTCCCAGTCGGAAATTAATTTTTCCGATTATTCCGACACCACATGAATGCATCATAAACCCCAGGAGCCTATAGGGGCCTTATTGTTCTACACTCTACACACTAAACTAAGATGATGAACATGGTAAATATTAAACTAGCTAAACATCGGCATGCTTTGTCATTATGAGAATGTTAGCGTGCTAACGTTAGCATTTGGCTTAGCCTCACAAAGGCACTAGCATCAATATAGGCTACTTGTTAGTTACTACATTTTACACATTCATGTGATCACTTTAAAACATTTCTTGTTTTTGTCACATTACCTCAGTTTGTAGAAAAATTATTACAATAAAATAAATAGAAAAATGCTGCATTTGGTCCACCAGGACCTTTGAAATGGCTGCTGATTATATTCAGAGAAATCAGTAAAAAAAACCCGCCTGAATTGGTATCTCACCTGGATTTGAGTAAGAGGAGGGTATGATGTTCCAGTTCAGGTTATGAATTCAAACTTGTGATGTAGTTACCTTAGCAAACACAGCCACCATGATATTCTGAAATTTTGGTTATTAGTCCATTATTTTACTTAAACACACACTCCAATTTAAGTGTACAAATGAGTACTCATACAATCAAGAGAAATATGTATAATTTTTATTAATTTATGTTTGTTTTTTTTATAGAACAGCTGAAGAGAGATACAGGGATGACATGTCACACATGCTCTACTGTGTGAGCTAACTAGCCCCCAAAATACATTTGCTTTTAATTTCTTTATTAATGTTGTCAACTACTTTTACCAGTCAGCAAACCATCTTGCAACTTTCCGTACTCATTTGGTTTTAAATAATGAATACAAACACGAACCCACTGGTTCTAAATAATGAATCTTAACATTCCTAACATGGTCTTTTATGTCAGTTTACATATTAAAATTGTAAATGTCAGTCCTTAAAGCAAAGCCCCATGTCAGTTTTAGACTGTCAAAGAGTGACTGCACCCTGTCAAATACATGCGCAGCAGCATGACTGGCACAAGTCTATCACAAACACACACACACTTAAATACTAGCTGATTGTCAAACATCATGTAAAGCCAGATAAACGTGCCAGCGTGCACGTACACTCACTATTCTATACTTACGCCATCATGCATCATAGATGTCCCATAATCCCTTTGGTTTCCTCCCTAAATGTATTATGTACAATTAGCTATCATCCACGCTACTCAGTCAAGACAGAAAGCAAATAAAATGAACATAAGAGCTAATTTACTTTGCTTCCTCTCCCCCCGCACACACAGGGTGTTGTCTCTGTACAATTGGTTTATTGTGTTACTATAAAGGCTGTAATTTTCAATAGTAAGAGACAGTGGTACACAGTGTCAGTTTTAATCAGCTATTATCTCAAACTTAAACACAATCTGTCCAGTTACAGCTGATGTGTTGCCTCTGCATCAACCACAACTTGTATTTTTGCACTTACTTAAACAAAAAAAGATAAAACGCAAGTTAGCTTTAGAAGTGCTGGTAAGTGGATTTTGTTACCTTTGGCTAGCTGTTTACCCTTTTCCAGTCTGTATGCCAAGCTAAGCTAAACGGCTGGAGCTCCATATTTACTGCACAGATATGAGAGTTGTATCGATCTTCTCATCTAACTGTCGGCATGATGGGAATAAGCATATTACGGAAAAGGTCAAACAAGCTTACATGCAGCTAGATGTGCTACATCCACTTTACTTTCACTAGAGGTTATCATTAATATTGTATGACTGCATCCATTTGTTTAAATACTTAAACTTGGATCATCAAGTCTGTCTAATCCAGGTATATGGTTGCATTTTTGGAAATCTGAGCAGAAACTGGAGACTCTCCTGTAGGCCTTAACAACAAAACTAACAAAAACAACAAAATTTCTAGGAACACAGGACAGATGAACTGACTCATACCTGTGGGCTTTCACTTACCTTACACAGCCACACAGACAGACTGAGAGTAATGCATCTTTGACCCATAGATAAAACATTCAATATCTGTACCAAGATGATTAAAAATCCACAGGCAGGACACAAGTGGATTTACAGTAATGTTAGCGTGTTAGTTGAAAATCTGTTTTATTATCAGGAGTTGTTACTCCTGAAATCCATAAATTACAGACAGACAAGCTAAGGGCTGTTTCTTGGTTTTATGTACTACTCAGCATTTTTAAATGTATGTTTAGCATTTCTGTGCTACTTATCTAGTTGTATTTGTTGAGTGTATGCATGTTTAAAATTGAATACATTATTCTCTGGTGCTCTGTCTACTGAAATACTGTGTGGTTTGTGTGTCTGTCTGTGAGAGTGTGAAACAGACAGATGCAGACGGTGTGTAAAAAGGTGCTTATTTCTGTGCCTGGGCTCTGGGTTAGGGCCTCCTCCAGCAATGTGGCCAGAATGCTCATGGCTGACTGGAGGGATTGAGTCCTGGGTGGCTGTTCACCACCTGGGGCAGCAGGGATGAGGCTTAGACTGAGGCAGTAGTGTTGAAATGTTCTCAGGGTTTGTGTGATATTTTGCTTATTATAATGTGCTTAAGGGCTATGGATGACAGAGAGAAAAGGACTGTGCTGTGCAAGGCTACATCATATCAAAGTAACAACAAAGCTGAAGCGACGATGATGGTGCTTATAATCTTAAACGCTTCAAACTGTTGTCGTAGGTTTCTGTGTCTTTTAATCTAAGCTCAGAATGCCCAGTTTATCTCCTAAAAGAAATCCAAACAACTGACCCAGCTGATAGCTCCTAAAAGATATGAAACTTCGCTCGGAGCTGGAGCTCAGCTCACAGTCTGACACCGGGGCCGAGTTTCTGGTTATCCTGCTGCTGGAGGCTAAGTGCATCGTCTGTCTCTGCTATTCCTTAAATCACATTTTTAAACACAAATTTTAAAACATTTGACGGCAGCCTCTTGCCACTGTGCCTGCTTTCACCTTCTCTAGAACCAACCACATTTGAATCTCAAATGAAATGCAAATGTCCCTGCAAAAATACAAATCAGATAAGAACCCAACAACAGTCAATCAGTGACTGAAGACACCACTTGTCCCAGAGAGACAGAAGGAGTTTGAGGGAAAAACACACGTTTGAGGGGAGGATGTGAGGTTCAGCAGTGCCTTTGGAGGGCTTTCTAGTGAATCTAACATGGGAGTACTAGGGTTGGCTGAGTGTGTGATAACCAATCAAAGGCAGACTGGAGCAGGCAGATGCACAGGCTCCTCATTAACATTTTTTCCTCTTCTCCTTCTGTTTGGCCAAGGCTACTCAGCGTTGATGATGATAAGGCTCTCCACCAAACCTGAAACATTCACCAGACACAGAGCCATATACTTAACCAGGGATGTCTTACTCATTAGCTTTCTTTTTCTTTAACTCCCCCTTGCCAACACCACTTCTGTCCCACTCTTAACTTGTCGAAATATTCACTGCAACGTGCCTTAACAGTCTACCTTTGGCAGCGACGACAGGCCTTTGGGTCATCAGGTCAAAACCATTGTAGCATGAAAGTAAAAATATAAAAGTAGGGTGCTATTTTGACAGAATTAGCCTGATTTTTCTCCTTTCTCTTCCACCTTCTTATATTTTGTATTCACAATTTATTTCTTCTCTGTCTCTTTGCTCTCCCTCCAGAATGACTCATGGAGCGAGCTCTACTCCTTCGCCCTGTTTAAGGCCATGAGCCACATGCTGTGCATTGGATATGGAAGACAAGCCCCAGAGAGCATGTCGGACATCTGGCTAACCATGCTCAGTATGATCGTTGGCGCCACCTGCTATGCCATGTTCATCGGTCACGCAACTGCCCTCATTCAGTCTCTAGACTCATCCAGACGGCAGTACCAAGAAAAGGTAAGGATCTGGCTAGCTTTTGGAGTTATTTCACTGGCTGTTTAATGGAGTAGTTCAGCAATTTTTGGGAAATAGGCTTATTTGCTTTCTTGCTGAAAGTTTGATGAGAAGATCGAGAACACGTATTTGCGTTAAGTATGAAGCCAGAGCCAGGGCGCCAATTGCTTAGTTTAGCATAAAGACTGGAAGCAGGGGGAAACAGCTAGCCTGGCTCTGTTCAAAGTTTAAAGAAATATGCCTAGTAGCACCTTAAAGCTCACTAATTAACATGTTATATCTAACAAAAATCTAACAATGACAAGTTGTGTTTATTATGGGGAGTTATGTGCTGTAAAAAGTTTCTCCTGTTTCTGGTCTTTATGCAAAGAGGTCTTTATCCTAAATTTGTACTTAATGGGCAGGCTAAACTTAATTCCAAAAATCATGTAACTATTCTTTGTAGTTTATGCAACATCTCTTTTCAGAAATAATGTCCTAGTTACACTGAGTAATCCATAGACCATGCTGTTAACAGGTGTTATTGGAACTGTCTTCTACCGAACAAATAATCCCTATGGATGGTGTGTTCTGTGGATTATCCAGAGTTACTGGGGCACTTTTTATGGAAACATAGTTTTTAATTTTCTTTGTCAGTGGTGTGAGCATGGCTAAATCACTATAGTATTTTGTTACACCAACACTTTTAAACTAAAACTAGCTTTTGTGGAGAAAAAAATGAAGAAAAAGGAGGGAAGGTTTTACTACAGTCTATCTTTAGATCACTGGTGAAATAAATTAATGGGATTCAGGATTACCTTACCCTTAACCAGGTGGCAAGACCCCGTAAGAAGACTCCATAAGGAGATGCAATCCACAGTTCTTGTCCTCTACAACAATGTGTATATGGTTATCACATTTGATAGGAACAGAGGGGGTTTGCTCACTTGAAACACACTTGGATAGGAAAAGCATCTGTTCCATTAGTTGGCTACAGCTTGCCGGGGCTCGGCCTGTCTGTCGTCTCCGTACAACGGCAGATCAAAGCTTTCGGTGTCTGCAAGCCAGGGAGGGCTTTATAAGGCCATGGTGTCAGCGGTGCTCTGTGTCTCGTTAGCGTCCTTAGATCCTAGGTGATGTGGAGATGTCTTATGCCATCTATCCCTCATACAGACACGCACATACACATCAGGGTGATTGGTCCAGCTTTGTTGTTTAGTTGAAGCCTCTGGGCAATGTTTAGAACAAAGGATGATCGGGTTTACGTCTCTCTCTCTGAATCATATGTTGTTGGGGCCTCAACATGTATCTTTATTCTGTTTATTTTCTTGCTCTTGTGGCTTGGCTGTCTATCATGGCAGAGAGATAATCATCTTGCCTTATTTTCTAGGTCACGATATCAGTAAGCATCCATGATCATGTTGAGTTCATAGCAGACCAGCTCTGCTGTGGGAGGGCTGTGGTGGTCTTCAAAAAGTAATGAGGCTACCGTATGTATGTGTCAGATTCATGAGCATGGTAAATGCAGCAGGGAAAGAAGTACACCATCCATAATCACTGAGCACACTGAGCTACATTTATAACGGTGGATGCACACAAACACACAACAGGTCGATGTTGTGTGACCCCAGTGATGTTGGTCAAAGCCAACAATTTGAAGGGTCATTTTACTCAAAATACATAAGAATGCAGCCGCCATAACAAGACAGAGGAGGTGAACAGAAGTTTGTATGTGGTGCTTACAGCATCAATAAACAAAGTAACTGTCTGGACAGGGTTTTCTGTGGATTATCCGGAGTTAATGGGACATATTGATTAACTTGTTGTTGTTTAATGCTTTTGCATGTTATATGGGATTTCAACTTGAGAACCTCAGACAGGACCTGAGCCAAAGCAGTGATCATGCTTCTTCAGTCAGCAGCCTCAGATCTGTAGACTGCCCTGCCCTAAGAACTCAGACTCATTAAATCCACTTCTCAAAATACACTCTCATAGACTTTCTTTTATGTAACTGCTGATGTTTAGCCTTGTGTTGTTTCCCCATGCATTTTTAAAATCTAATTTCATTTTCTAGTTATTTTTTCTTTTCATCATGTTTTCTAATTTTACAGCTTCATCGTCTTCTATTCTTTATTTTTGCATCTTTTATTATTTCATTCCTGCCTTTATGCTTTCCTATAATTGAAATGTTTAGTTAATTGTTATTTTTAAAGTTTCTCATTTTTGTCTAGCTTTGCAAAGAATGTTATATTATTTGTTCCGCCTGTGTTTGTCTGTTAGTTAGCCGGCAAATGTCAAAAAGTTATTAGCAAATTTTTGTGGAATTTGCTGGAAAGTTAATCAAGGTCCAAGGAAGATAAGATTAGTGTTTGGCAAGGATATTGATCCAATAGCACTACCAGGTGGCCATTTGTAAAATTGGTTGGGCCACACCCATGTCTGCCTAAACCTGTTGTTCTACCATTTTTCTTTTGTTTTTAACCATCCCTACAAACTTCACCCAGTCCTCACCAAATTTGGCCCGTAACTTAGTTGGAAAACCTGAAAAAGGTTGTTATACACTTATAATGTGATTGGTTTCCAGATGGCCTGTTTGACATTAATGTCATAAGTTAAAAGGACGCCCTCCTGCAGCGAGCACAAAGACTAACAGAGAAATTGAGAGAAAGGGCAAATGAGTGGCTGAGTCTATCCTGAGCCTCTGTTTTGTGTCAATTACATGTAGCTGTACTCTGTCAGCGATGTGACGTCTGCAGCAATCACTTCCTGCTATAACTCTCATTCTTCCCTTTTTTCCACGATGTACAACAGTGAAATAATGAACAGAGTAACAAGACAACTTATCAAACATGCCGTCTCTCTCCAGACCCACATGACTGTTTGTTCATCGTTATCCAATGAAATGAACCATGCTGCACTGCAGTCTGCAATAAGTCCCACCATCAGATAACAGAGTGGAGATGGAGCTATGGGCTTGAGCTCGCCTCTCTGACAAAACAGATTCTTTGTCTAAGACAGTGTAAATGCTAACGACAGCATGTACTTGTATTGACACAACACAGAGTAAACAGTTAGCATCACGCTCAGCGTTGAGACAGAAATGTCATAATAGCTGCAGCACTAAGCCTCTTCTCCTGTCTGCATGCAGATATCCCACTGACCAAAGAGAGATGTGGATTCTAACTGTTTACTGTAGGTCCAAGAGTTAGACAAAGCGTGCTGGTATTTTTTCTGCTTTATCAGAATGGACACATGGTGTTTTGTTTAGCACGGACAGGAATAGAAATAGAGACACACACACAGTAAGTGTGAGATAAGAGAGGGTCATGTTGAATAAGAAACACTGTAGAGCAGGGGTTCCCAACTGTCAACATTTGTTTCATACAATTGGATTGTCCGTGTGTAGGTCAGTTTGGTTTGCATTTGCACTACTAGGCTACCACTTGGAGTGGTAGAAGCTGGATTTTTTCTAACCTGTTTATCCATTAATTTTTGGTGATATTTCACCTGTTTATCCATTACCTTTAGCTAACTATTCCAACCATTTATCCACTACTGTTAGATATCTCACCTGTTTATCCATTACATTTGGCTCAATGTTCTCTCAGCTAACAATTTACAGCATTTATCTCTACTTTTAGCTAACTATGCTAGCTTGCCAACTAGCTTTCATGCACTCTATAGCCTCATTTCCACTGCATGGTATGGCTTCCTGGTTACTGTGAAAAATCTACAAAACATCAGCATCACACCAGTCTGTAATCCAGTCTGGTTATGGTTATTTGGTGGTTATTTTACTCTTAAACACAAATATGTGGAAATACAAATTTAAAAAAAAAATCCAATCCCAACTAACATTTTTTTCCTAATTACTTAAGCCACTCCACAGTTTTTAGCAACTGCAGAAGGACGCCTTGTTGGGAATCACTGAGCATCTCCATTCTTGAGAAACATAAGATGATGTTATTTGGCTTCTGTTGGTGTTCTCACAATCTCCTCAAACAGTACTACAGTAAAAATTAGGCAGTGGCTGCAACTTAGCGCTCCTTAGTTGTCATCCCTTCCTTCACATTGAGGTGACCCTCATCCCGTGTTTCTCCACAACACTCTTTCCATCCCTCCAGCCCTCCCCTGCTTCATCTGTCCATTCGCCCTTGACTGTTGAGCAATACACCATCTGCCAGCGGACACTGCACATGGACAGAGGGCATTAGCCATTATGTAACTGTACTCCAGCTTCTCTTCCCCAATCACTTCTTCCCCCTCAGGAGCAATAGAGCAGCATGTGTGAATAGTAGTGAGAGGAGTGAGATGTGACCCCTGGAGCCACTGGTGATGAGCACTGATCCACTGGGCCATGACACATAAAACAGTGGCTTGAGGAACTGCTCACTTCATAACCTGGACCATCACTGAGGCCTGTCCTGGACAACCTGGGCCTCTGACCCTTCGAGTTGAATTAAATTGGTCCTTCAACCACACCTTGTAGTTGAAAGAGAATCAAATATGGCGAAAGCTCCAGAAGAACAACACTAGTAGAAACAGTAAGTGGACCTTGAGCTGAGGATTTTTTTGCCAGCTGCTATTTATAAGTCATGAATCTGTGTGGAGTTTGCATGTTCTCCCCGTGTCCGCGTGGGTTCTCTCCGGGTGCTCTGGCTTCCTCCCACCATCCAAAGACATGCAGGCTAGGTTAATTGGTGTCTCCAAATTTGTCCTTAGGTGTGGATGTGAGTGGTTGTTTGTCTATGTGTGGCCCTGCGATGGACTGGCATCCTGTCCGGGATGTACCCCGCCTTTCGCCCGATGTAAGCTTGGATTGGCTCCAGCTCACCGCGACCCTGTACGCAGGATAAGCGGTTGACGATGGATGGATGGATGGATGGAATATATTTTTAAGCTCAACTTCACCTGAAATTGATTTGAACTTGTGCAGTGCCTGTTCCGGGCTTGGTCGTTTGGAGCGCATGCTTCCATCTTGGTCCAGAGATGTTTTGTACCAGACATTGCTCAAAATTTGCAGT